CAGTGAGCAAAGCTTGAACACTGCCTGTCAGGTGAAACCTATAGGAGTTTTGTGCACTGTGCTATTAAAAATTATATACTGATAACACCCCCTTATTAAAGCAAGTATTATTTACAGTCTAGGCATCAATCATGCTAGCTGCAACTAACTTCTGATAGCATTCACAGCACGTGCTTGGGTGTGATTCAGCTGGGCAAGGGCAGAGCAGGGTGTCTGCATGTGACTCAGCATCCTCTGACCTCTGTAGAGGCAAGCAGCTCTTATGGAGGAGAGATTCAGCTACTCCCACTCTGGGTGGGAGTTTGAAAGGAGCAGATTGTCACATAAACTTTGTTTACAGCTCGTGAAGGATAAATTCTAGAATCACAGGCCACCCTTTTCATTTTTTAAGGTTTGAGGCAATTTTTCTACAAACAGCTAGAAGCATTCAAGTTCTTCTTTCCTAAAGCCAGACATACTGTAAAACATCCATTGCTGGAATCATTTCAATGTTAATAGGTTTGAATCAGAACAAAATCCCAAACCTTTAATGGCATTTTAAAGGCAGAATATACACTTCCTCTTCCAATCTTGCTGGAGATCGCCCAGTTCTTGGGCAAAGAAATATATATTAAAAAAAAAAAACAGTGTGAAAATGACACCTGTTTTTACAATGCTACTACTGCTGTGAGTACTACAGAAAAAGCATCCTTGGGAGATGCAGACTTTTCAGTGGACAATAGTTAAGAACTGAAAGATGGCATGGAATATATCTGCATTCTTCACACTGGCAAAACAGCAGAGAAAATAATTCTGAAAATGCTACATGCAAGTAGTTTTGAAGGTAGATAAATGTATATTACTTGCACAGCTGCACTTGGTGAAACTGAAAGAAAAAAGCTTAGAAAAGCCAGTCTTGTATGTAGCTATTAACTACACTACTTAAAAAAAAATCCTTATAGCGAGCTTGAGAGGTAGGAACTTTAAGGTGACAGCAAACAAGAACAGTACTTAGGAGACAATAAGGGCAAGCACGATGCTTATTTCTGTAGTTTCTGATCCCCCCAGTGGCTGAAACTGAGGACAGCAAAAAAACTGAAAACAACTATCTGCAGTTATGGACTGTTTAATTTGTTTTTAGAAGTGAAGGCCAAGATGAGAACTCGGTTCTTGTTTGTTTTTGATAACCGAGGAAAATTCCCAGCTACTAGAGCAGACACAATACGACAGGTTATTCTGAGATAAGTCTTATGCCATTAGCCACTCCTGTGTGTCACACTGTCGTCACACACACCAGGCAAGGAGGAAGCATTCCTCAAAACAGGCTGGACAGGTGACATCCAGCAGGGCTTGACCCGGCTCCTGCAATCCTTCCTTGGTCATGGCAGCTTAACGCCAGCTCTCCTTCTCCCCTTCTCAGGAGCCGCATCTAAAATGGGAAGAGCCAGGTGGGACCTGTGGGTGCTCCCTGCGGTGACACACAATTGGTTGATGTGCAGCGTCATTTTTTGCGAGCCCTTTTCAAAGGCCGACCCAGCAGCTCTGACACGGGCACAAACACACCAGAGAGCCGAACCCGGGGCTCGCCAGCCCTGGGCCACGACACTGCGGAGAGCTCAGCACCGCCCAGCGGCCTGCAAGGCTTCCAAGGCGTCCTTTGGGGCTTTATTTGAGGGTTGTTATTCCTGCTGAAGTTTAAGCGCTTTGGTACCAGAGTGGCTACAAAGAACCAACACCAAGTTGTTTGCACAGCGGCGCGGAGCCAGGGCCGGGAGTGGCGGCGGCCCCGCAGCCTGGACGTGGCTCCCTCACAGCGGCACCGCTCGCGTCCCGGCTCCCCCTGGGCCCAGCAACTCCTGCCGGGCCTGTTTTGCGTCCCTCGCTGCCGCCGAGCGATGCTGCTCCTCCTCCTCCCTCACCCACGGCCCGGGATGGCCGGGCCCGGCTCCCAGCCCTCCCGGAGCGCCGGGAATCCCCCGCCCCGCGGTGCCAGGGCCGGCCCGGCCCGGGGGCTCTCCCGGAGCGCCGCCGGTGAGTCACGGCGGGCGGGCCGGGGCCTCCTGCCCCGCTCCTGCTCCGCTCCCTGCGAGCTCCCGCTCCGCCGGGACGCGGGGCCCGAGGCCGCGACCCCCGCCGGGCTCCCGCTGCC